GCTAACACATGCCACAAATCTGGAGGACGGCTGAACTTTAAGATACAGTCTACAGAAGTAGATGTTGGTGGATTGGCCTTAGCTTGCTTGAATGCCTCTCCAGTACGTCTCCAAAAAACCTATGTGGACCCAGGAGAGTTGTGGTGAATATGGCTTTGCTTATTATTACCCAAGGGTGTGTGACACGAATGGAAGAATAGGATCTAATTACTAACTAGGTAGCTTTCCTGAGAATTGTACATGAAAAAAAAATGTCTCAAAAACATTCGTAATCCAACCATGAAGCACAAAGGGGCAATTGAATTTTGGTATTATTAAAAGCTGAAGAAAAGGATAAATAAATGACTTTGACCTATCTGCTACAATGCATTTGGGGACTTTATGGATCGCAATGAAATGAGGGGTAGTTATGATACTCTGGCAGAACTCTTATAAATCTCTTGAGACCCATTCAGGTGAAAGTACTGGTGTAGAACATTCATGCTAACGTGTGACAGGGCTTCATCGCCTGGATTTTCATTTGAATAGCTGTCTAAAAAACACATCAATATGCCCACTGTACAGAGGAAACCTATTCAAGATCAGTCGTGGCAGTTTCCCACAATATCTCTGTGGACTTAGGTGACGGGAAGATTCAGAGAAAAAAAATGAGAAGTTTTGCCAGTTCTCTCAGATTTAAGCTCCTAGCTTCCAGGACTTAATAATGCAGCTTGTTGAAAATGGGGCAGAAATTATGTAGGGCAATAAGTCTTCATATTCAGGGTAGGGAATGGTAGAGAAATTGCTTTGATCCTAATTTGGAGTCCTGCTGAGCCCCTTTTTAATGTTCTATCTTTGCTTAAGCCACTGGGATCTCACCTCTCATCTTTCCCAGTCACCTTGTTTCTGGCCTTTCAAGCACTTCTGTACTGATCTCAATCTGCTGAAAACTGTTTCTGCTGGCCCATAATGCCAATTCCTCTTAGGTAAAGGAATTGGGAAATGGAAGGAATCGAGGACAGGGTAGTTAAACATAGAGCTGAGCTTAAACTCCAGCAGCTTGTTTCTTTTAGGGCATCACCTAAGATGTGATAGTTCATTGTGGAAAGGTGAACTTTCTTACCCACTAAAGGCATTACTGCAGATAGTAAAATGCTTGGGGCCAGTTCCAGTCTAGGTGGAAGGATTTCATTTTGAAGCCTTGGATGGTTCCCCCAGGATAGAATAAAGTTTCCAGGAATTTCGTGAGAAGTTCCAGAACTCTAACCTTATTGTAAGAACTGCAGCTATTACCATCTTGCATTTTGTTTGTAGGAAGAGAGATCTCTCTCTCAGCATTGTCCAGCAAATCTACCCTAAACTCCAGTTGTACATTGTGACAGAAGTTTTGGAGATAATGGAGCCCTTTCTCATTGAAGAGACTATCCAGGCAGGTGGGAAGGGGGAAATTTCTGCAGTGAACATACTTAAAATCCAGGTGTGGTTATCATTTTTGGCTTCATCTTTTTGCTGTTTCTTGATTTTTAACTGAACAGGTTAATGACTAAAATCACCACAGTATCATTCCTTAAGGAGGAATTGATTGATCAAGTATTTTACCTTTTTCATAAGAATAAACACAAACTTAACCTCTCTGACCAAAACATGGGCTCAGCCCCAGAACCTCTATAGCTGCTATCAAACTTAATTTTAAATATGACATTAGGGGGAAAATGGTTTGTTTAAGCAGTAACAGTTTAAATGGGTTGACCTTGAAAAGCTTGAAAAGCTAAGGAAGGTTAAGCCTTATGCCACCAGGATTGAAACTTTAGGCCTGGACAACCTCAAACTACACCACTTACATTCCGACCTAAGCGTAGTAGACAAAATTACCTGTTACAATATCCTACCTGTAAACGACTACTTCAACTTCAACCACAAGAATACACGGGCAAACAATAGATACAAACTCAAAGTAAACCAAGCTCCAAACTCGATTGCAGAAAATATGACTTCAGCAATACAGTGGTCAATGCCTGTAACATTCTACCTGATTCTGTTGTTAGTTCCTCAAATCCCCATATCTTTAACCTTAAACTGTCCACTGTGGACCTCATACGTTTCCTAAGAGGTCCCTAAAGGGGTGTGCATAAGTGCACCAGCATGCCTACTATCCCTGTCCTACTGTCCCCCCAGTTTGATATGTACTCATTTTATGTGTTCATGGCCATGTTATGCTTATTTATATCCATTTATTTGTACCAACTTCATGCAATAATGTCCATGTCTATACTAATACCTGTGACCTTGTACATGTTGACTAAATAGGTAGGTAGGTAGGTAGGTAGGTAGGTAGGTAGATGATAGATAGATAGATAGATAGATAGATAGGTAGATGATAGATAGATAGATAGATAGATAGATAGATAGATAGATAGATAGATAGATAGATAGATAGATAGATAGATAGATAGATAGATAGATAGATAGATAGATAGATAGATAGATAGATTGATTGATTGATTAGTATTTGGATAGGAGAGCAGCAGGAATTACTGACTGTAGCAGACCACTTCCACACAGTGGCGAAAGCAAAACAATATAAAACCTATTCCTATATAGATCAATATTAAACTTCACTTGAGTAAAACTTTTCTAAGAAAAAATGTTTAATGCATGGAGAATAGCATATGACTTGTTTCTTTTGATCTTGGCTCTTCTGCTTTTAGGAGCATGGTCTTGGCATGCTGTTGAAAGACCAAAAATGGCTCCTGGTACTACATGTATATATATATATATATATATGCCCTACCTTATAGCACAGAGGGAAGCCCTTGAGTGACAGATTTTGGGAGTGTGTAATAGCATTGTGCCACTAAAGCACAATAAATAATGTTGCACACTGAAATGTAAGGAATTGGCAAAAGGAAAGCATAAAAATTCACTGTAGAAAGATTACTGTACTTGTGTAACAGTATATTGTTAGCTTTATTTTTCATGTGTGTGCACAGAGTGGACCTGCAGGAAAGAGAGATTTTGGGAAAGTGCATGCCATCATAACCAAATGCACTGAATAAAGAATACGGAATGAACATTTATTTCCTTTACTATATTCCAAAGTGAATATAATGAGGTCTGCTGGAAGAAGAGTAGTGCTCACTACTTACATTTATAAGAGTTTCCTGACTGCTTATAGCTGTAAATAAGATGGGTGGGATACATTCCCATCAGTGATGGGATTCAAATAATGTAACAACCGGTTCTCTGCCCTAATGACTATCTGGGTAGGTGGGGCTCGGTGGTCATGTGACTGGGTGGGTTTGGCCAATTCAAGGTCACTCAGGTCGATGGGCGCTTCGCCTTAGCTGTTACAATGTAATAAGGGTTAACCGGAGAGGCAGTTTCTGTAAGCAGGTCAAAAAAGATTAGGCTAGAAACAACACTAGAATGTTTCCTTCCTGCCTTCCTTACAGGATTAGCCCTGTAAAGTGGGGAAAAAACCAAAAGGATATTTCTTCCAACAATCGGTTCTCTGAACTACTTAGAAAGTTACCAACCCGTTCTCCCGAATAGGTAATCTTTTGGTAATCTTAGGGCTACGAGTTTCCAGTCAGACAATTTATGACTGATCACTAGAGGGTGGAATCATTCCTGCCTGTTTTCTGTGAGATGATGAGAAAGCCTATGGATTGCTAGCTTCCTTCACAATCTGTGACTTGGTCTAGGGTGAAACATTCTTAACATCCTGTGCTCAAATCTCCAGGGCCAGCACAAGACAATGAAAAATAAGTCCATGCTAATTCCTTTTGGTACAGTGATGGCATATGGAATTGAGAAACTCCAAATCTGTGAAGAAGACTCTGGTGAGTGAAAAAATCGTTTCACTGATTTTTTTTTTGCCATACTCAGGGTCAGGCATCTTTCTTTTCTTTTTAATTTCTTTGCATTTTTGTTTTTTTTATAGTTTACCTCAACCAGGAAATTCAAACAATGTTGGACCACTCACTCACTTATGATGGTATGTTTAATATCTATGCTTTCAAAAAAATGTGTGTATGAAAATTAGAAAAAGCATGATTGTTTGTGGAGCAATCTAAGCAAACAAACAAGATAGAGCTGTCAACCAAAGATCACAGAAGATGACTTTTTATTGTGAGTAAAAGGTTAAGTCTGCAAAAAGAAAATGCTAGTCTACAATGTAGTTAATTAGTTTGCAGCTCAATATATGATGTGAAGTCATCCAACATCATTGGCTTATAATTCGGTGACCTGTGTGAACCTAGAAAACTGGGTTAATTCTATCAACCATAGCTTAATTAAATGGATTGACATGTAGATGAAGTATGGCTATGGAGGAAAGAGACAAAAAGATGTCTGAGTTTCCATGTCAACAAAGTGCCCTCTTTAGTCACCCAAAGGCAGTGTGGCACTACAGCTTCAGTTGTAGGAGTTGTAGTTTATCAGCATTTGGAAAATCAATCTCCAACTAATTTGTGTCTCTTTGTATAGAATAACTACTAGTATTTTATATGTCTCTGTTGAATTTCCAAATGTTGTGCAATAGTGGTCCTTCTCCATACATGGTTTGAAGCTTGGAGACTTTTAATAATTTAGTTCTGGGTCAATAAAAAAATAACATTGAGTAAACAATGTGTCCTATTGTGCCTCTTCCTTCACCTCTTCCAAAGAAGGAATACTTCAGCTTTTTCTTCTTAATTTCAATCTAATATTTATTTTCTTCTTTTCATCGTAGCATTCCAGAGTGAACTGGGATCTTCACTCACAGGCAAGTTATGACTGAACTTTGATTCATTCTTATATTTGGTCTCCCCAATAGTGCAGATCTCTTTGATAAGATCAGTAATGTCTCTCCACCACACATGCCGATTAGGTAGTACACAGAGACCCAACAATATGGGTCACAGCAGTTGTTCAAATTGTTCTCTTTTTTTAAAACTAGAAACTCAATTGAAACTATACTGCCCATAATCTTAACCAAACCAATGATCTTTAGCTGTCCAACAGGTGCAAGATGCAGTTAAGGAAGCTTATGAGCCACTGTTGCACCAGACCCAGCCTTTGAAGAAGAATCTTTTGGAATCCTTTGAGATTTTCCTGAAGAACAGAAATGTTTCCACTGTACGGTCCATGGTATGTTCCTTTTTTTTGGCTGTTCGATGGCTTACAGCTATTCATTTGTACTGTAGCATCCTGTACAAATATGGATTTATTCATTAGACTTCTGCCTTGCCTTTATCATTATTATAAAGAACTCAACTAGGTAAATATTTGTAATAATCATTCCTTCCCCTAGTTTTCCTACAACAACCACGCTTATCCCTTTGTTTTTCCATCTCTTTGCCTTATGTAAGAAATCCCTCCTACCCCTTTCGTAATATTGCAAGCTCCAAATCACATGTCTTCCAAATGTGTTAGGAGAAGAGGTGTCACAATTCTCAGATAGTCTGTGAACTATAGTTCCAGCACATTTGGAAGACTGTTTAAGTCATTCCTCCATGAGCATCTTCCATTCATCCAGCCATTGGGTTAAAATAATAATAGTGAGAAGGAACTTTACATCAATTAAGGATGGCTTGATGATGCTCTGAAAATACCTAACATATTTTGTGATGCTGCCCAAGGAGGGCAATATCCCAAGATCTGCACATGCAGCAGAATGAGGTGGTCATATTTGAAGCAAATATGTGGTCTGTACTGTTTTTGGGCATGAGTAGGAGACACGGTTTTTGAAAATACATCTTTCTGTAGATACATATCAGTCTCTCTCTAAGGTCAGAAAGAGTTCTCAAATATAATTTTTTTCATGAATTTCTAGACTCTTTGAAAGCTCTATACAACAAAATCTCATTTTAATGTATGCCAATTAGTGTACATTCAAAGTGACAATAAAGTTATTCTAAATCTAAATCTATTGCTAATGTCAAGTAAGCTAAATGCAAACTAGAAAGTACACTTTTCCCCAGATTGTGGATCATATTGCCGCATAGCCCTTTGTTTTTGGCCTTCCTGAATACCCTAAAAATTCCTTTTTAAGTGAATTGATGGTAACCAAGGAAGAATGTTTAATATTATTCTCTTATGAAAAAGTTGGTTTTTCATTTATGGATTGGAGAATATATATATAAATCCTGCATATCAATACTAGTTGTGAAACAGGGAGAAAGGATGTAGATAAAAACTCTCCCTGATAAGTTTACTCTTTTTTTTTTAATTCGCAGGGCCATTTTTACACAGGGAAGGACAGGACCCCTCCTCGTGCCGATTGAAGTGGCACAGTCCACAGACCATTATCTCAGGACTTCTCATGTTCTTTTGCTGCTTCTGTAGATTATTAGGTGTGGAATCCTGTTCAGATTAATTTCTGCTTGAATGTTTAAGATTCTATCACCACTACTACCCTTTTGCTCCAACTTCCTGTTTAGCTGCCTATTTTTTGCCTGTTTACTTCAAGCCTACTTCTACCTAGAATGTATTTTCTCAGCTCCTGAGTAAATATGTTCCAAGAACCCTTGAGTGCTACATAGCAGGAAATAATTATTTTCAAAATTTGTGAATTTACTCATTTCTTTATTAGATTTATATCCTTTTTGTCTCTTGGAGCTGAAGGTGATATACATTGTATACTTCCCTTCCTCTAATTCTTTTCCTACAACATTCCCCTGAACATAGTAATTGAACTAAGACATAGTAACTGGCCCCAAATCAACTATCAAAAATTCATGGCTGAGGTCAAGTCTGAATCACTACATCACTTGGGTGTAACCATACTGTGTTTATTAGATATTAACTCTCTATTTCACCTCTACTTGACTGACTGCTATACATTTTCCCCCACCAGCTGGAGCTTTCCATGGCAGGTGACAATGCTGATCGCTCCATGTTGGAGTCATTGAATGAGGAATTCCGAGTTCCAGTAGAAATGCTGCTATCCTACTTAGGGATTTTCCAGGACACTAAAAGAGGAGAAAACCAAGATCTCTGGGGACCAATCTACTTCTTTTGTTCTTCTATAGATGGTACAAGAAACTATGATTTTGATGTTGTTGTACTTATTTAGTATTCTTTGCTTTCTCAAGCTTGGAAGGTACCTCTTTTAAGGTACCCCTTCAGAATTTAGCAGTTCATTCCCAACCTTCCACAATGAGCAGAATTTATTGTAGAAAGAGATTGTTACTGAATTTGGGGAAAAAGTTGAGAACCCTGGGAAAATGGTAGGAGAAGTATGGGTAGAGCAGGCACAGGCAAACCATCTAGCTGCCAACATTCTAAAACAATAGTTTCTATGAAAAAATAAATGATGGTTTGAGGCGACATTTGAATGTTGCTGCTGTATTACGTCTGTAGCACTTCAGGCACAATTTATAGTAATTTGTTTTAATGTAATATATATAAGAACTTGAATCTATAAATTGCAATTATAGATATGCAATTTGTGTTTTTCAAATGAGAAGTCTGAAGCTGGAAGAAAGGGATTTTTAACACTTAAATTAAATATGAAAGAAACACAATTAGCCATACTTTTTTCTCACTCCCCCCCCCCCAAACTGCTTTTGCCCAGCCTGAATTTCAACAAAACCTTTTCAGCCTGGTTCAAAGAGTTATGTTGTTTCTTTGCCGCATTTTTAACTACTGCCATTAGCTAAATATATTTATAAAATGAGTGACAATTTTAACACAATCTTATTATACAGATAGACACTGTTCTATTTGTATTTGCTCTCAAGACAATGTGATGGATGGATGGATAGATGGATGGATGGATAGATAGAGCCAGGCAGGCAGGCAGGGAGACAGGCAGGGAGACAGACAGATGAAACTGCCAGCAGCTTCGGAATCCCTCTAGAGTTGATTTCACATTGAAGCCTTCTATTTTTGTTGTTCACAGCACATACTGCTCTATGATTGTTCTAATAAACATAGACGAAGTTTTCAAACTGAGCACTTATGCAGATGCTCACTGAAAAATAAGAATTTCCCTTCATCCAAAAGTCTGACTTACTATTTTTTGTAATCAAAGAAGAGGAATGGAGCACATTTATAAACTTGCCCACAAATGCTTTCCCTCGTTCCAAGTCTAAAGTGAAGAAAGAGGAATGCTGCAATATTCTGCAACAGAAACTGCAATCAGCAGCACAAAAGTAATAAAAGATGCCTTGAGAAAAATGTTATATTCTGGAGGCAACAAAAAACTGTGAGGGGAGGGGGGGAAATATATCAGGAAGAAGAAAAATGAGTGTAGATAAGTTCCACATGTGACAACAACATATGATTGAATCGTCTGAATTATACCTGTCTCTGTTTTTGCATTAATAGAATTAGACTATGAGATGATGCCCCTCTTACAGAAAATGTTGGAAAAGAAACAACTGGCCAAACCAATGGAGATGGTGAGCTCTTACTATCTTAAATCTTTTGCTATGATCTTTTTCTAACTTGCTGTAATATACAATGCTTTTTCAAACTCATACCAAACATGCATGCCTTAAAAAGCAGGTAGCTAAAACTGATGTTCCTCAGAATTCCATTGAGGTTTTATAAAAGGTTGCGTTTAGGCAGAGATGTGCCAATTCCTTGGAAGATATATTGATTCAGTGAAAAGAGAAATGCTCTATTTGTGAACTAGGCATCCTAGTGGCTTTGTGGTCACTAGAAGCCCTTCTGCCATATGCCAGAATCCCTTTTCAGAACGTTGTTTTCATTTATTGTGCTTCTAAGGGCCACAGCTCCTACTGAGAGAGCAATGAGTCAAAGGTGTGGCTGGAAATTGTCAGTTTTGGTGAAGAAGCAAAAACTGGCCATTTCCCCAGGCTCCAATTTGTTGCATGGAATTCCAAACAGCAGATCCCTATCCAGTTATAGGTTATTCTCCATGTCTGAAATGACTTTGAATATTATATTAGGATTGATTTGACGGTGAAATGTGGAAGACTTGAAGTTTCTGTGAAGTGGCTTGGGGCTGTTAGCCGGGAGACAGTTTTGAAGGCCAGCAGAAGAAGGAAGCCTATCTTCCTTCAATATAATTAGATACAAAGCTATGTGAAATAAACTGCCTGGGGTAAAGAGGACTAAAGAAGGACTATTTGCCCTTGTCTCAAATTCAAAGGAAGCATGAAATGTGTAGGTTAATCACTCACTCACTCATTCACTCATTTGTTTATTCATTCACTCACTCATTGAATTTAGAAATTGCCCATTTCCCCCACAGAGGAACCCTGCATGTGTAGAAATAAAATGTAAAAACATAAACTGTGCATAAATATCATATTAGGAGGAAAAGTTAAAATTCAAAGTTAAAAAGGCAGGGGGGGGGGCATCAAGATGTTAATTAGTTTCATGGCTTCAGGCACCTCCATGAGTTCAGAGCAAGACACCAGAACCAAATTTCCAGATATTTCTGAGGCCAGAAGGCTGGGAGCCTGCCTCATGTCTGGATGACAGACAGGGCAGGGACAATGGAAGAGAAAGTTTTCTTCTTGGACCCTTCAGATCACAATTCTTTAACTGTTGAGGCTCACAACATACATTCCTGCCTGACCCAAGGGGATGGACTGATCTAATGGGGCAAAAACAATTCTTGGCCCCATACCATATAGGGCTGTAATGATTATAACTAACCCTTTGAATTGGACCTGGAAGCAAGTCAGCATCCAATGTAGCTTGCACAGCAGTGATGTTACATGTGCCATCCTTGGGTCACTCAAAATTGCTCATGTGGCCACAATATATACCAATTCAAGCTTATGGATACTTTTTAAGGATAGTCCCATATAGATTACATTGCAAGACTCCAAATGAGAGATGACAAAGGTGTGAGTGACTGACTAAGGAGCTTCCCTATCCAGGAAAGGGCATAACTGGTGCATGAAGTTGAGCAAAAGCTCTACTAGCCACGACTGCCAGCTATTCTTTGAGTAGGAGTTGTAAGTCCAGCAGAACCCTCGGATTATATATTGGGTTTGTCTGGGACAGTGAAATCCCATCCAATAATTATATTGTGCCTCCTTTGTTTTTAAATTATGTTTCAAAATATCATTATGTTGTCAGTTGCAATCCAAAATATTTATTTGGAAAAGGCTGCAGTATGAGAGATCCAAAACAGGGAATCTCCATCAGCCTCAGCATTTCTGAGTTTGAATTTTGGACTATAATCATGACCGGCATGGGTGATAATGAGCTGCCCAATCTAAAATTTAAAACTAGGAGTAGATCTCATCATTATTGTTGCAGTTTTTATTGACTCTATCTCTGGCTAACCAGTTACTTGCATTTGTAAATTGTTTTTTTCATTATCTCTGTCTCCCAACCTCTCTTTTCATTTTCTCTCTCATTTGTTCTCCTGCTTCACTTCAAAAGGTGAAATTCACTTTGGAAAGGATTCTTTCTGGCGAAGAAAGTGGTACTTTCACTCTTCCTTCCCATTCCCTGATGGAGGAGGAAGTTGATCTCAACCTCGATATGCTGCAAATCTGCGGGCTGGATTTAGAAGTTGGGGAAGATTCCATCACTTGCCAGTGTAATAATGATGCCTGCTCAGAACTGGCTGCTCTATACTCCAGCTTGTATGCCCTGCAGATCCTAAGTGGATGAAGGAAGAATTAAAACAATATAAAAAGACAATTTTTACCTTGCGACTGGAAAAGGTCAACCAGGCAGTGAACTAAAACTAATATTTCAAAAAAGTTCTTAGCGGTTCAAAACTTCTCTTTGGTTTCAGATAGGCTGATGTTTCCCATTTTCTTATGAGAAAATAATGAGGAGTAAGAAATTGTTGATATTAGCTACTAAGGAGTTTCCCACCTGATTGTCTACAATTCTCAGTAATTTTCCTATATTATGTTGAATCTATGCAGTTGTATGCGTATGGCCAAAGGGCTTGACGAGGTTTGAAGTTAGATTTTAAATTAATTATATTTTGGTTATTACAAGAGTCTTGGAAAAAACTGAGGAACAACTCTCTGTGTATTTATGTATTTCTTTTTTGTAAGTGCATAGAAACGTTTATATTTATTCATGTTCTGATTGAACTATAATTGATATTTGAAAGTTGTGTTTTCTTTTACTTTAACAAAGGATTCTGTTTTTCCTTTAAACCATGAGATCTACAAATAACCAGAATTCATGATTGTTATGTCTATGGAGATTCTCAGTCATCTAGATCATGGTTGTCCCAAAGGTGCTTTTTCAAGAGGCAATTGGACTTTCTGGTTTTTTTTTTCTTTTTTGGGAAGACGTTTTGTTGAGACGAGAATCCAAGAAGCTTCTTTAGCTCTGAAGCTCGAAAAACCATCTTTGAGACATGATTGTTAAGGCATCCCATCCCCTACCTCAATGTGACAGTGGAGCGAGGAGGGCCTTTGCACAACTTCATAACTTTGGAGCACTTGTGCCAGTTCCTAGATCAAGGAGACCTACTCATGGCCATGCATGCTCTAATCCTTTCCCAGTTACACTAATGCAAAGCACTGTAAATAGGGCTACCATTGAAAAGTATCTGCAAACTTCAGACTGGAGTAAAATACACAGTCTGAGCACATGTATGTTTCTGGTGGTACATATGTTGTACCCCTGCTTTGCAAGCTACACTGGTTACTACTTTATTTTCAGGTCCAATTCAAGGTGCTGGAATTGACCTTTAGAGCCTTCATGATATGGGACAGGGTTATTTAAGGAACTGTCCCTTCCTGATTTTATCTGTCCATGCTAACAAGATCCAAGGATATATTACAGATTCTGTTACCTAGGAAGCTATTTGGGGGGAGTGGGGTCTGGGTGGCAACTTATTTCTGACTTCATCTACTATATTAATGAATCTCAGATAAAAGGATAGAGAAATATATTTCCTAATTAACACACTATTAAAAAATTAAAAATCCAATAAAAGCTCAATTTCAAAGGGTACCAGACCATAGTCAGAGGTTAGGTTCATTAATCATCTTCTATTATACATCATGATTTGTTACAAGCCATAGCTTTTGAAGAGCCAACACAAAGCACTAAGCTATCAACTAGAATTCTTAAATCAGAATGGGTTAGTCAGAACATCAAAAGATTTGAATGTGGTATTCAAACTCTGTTTCCTGGAACCCAAAGGTTCTGTAAGAATCAGCCAGGAGTTCAACATGAAGTTTCCATTTGCATTGTATGAAATTTATTACATTAATTGAAAATTTTGTTCAAATAAAATGTATTACTTTAAATGTATTAATAGGTTCCAAAATGTTTTTTTTTAAATTGAGAAGAATTCTTCTGGTATCTCATCATAGCTTAGAATGATTTGTGAAGTGAGGGAAATCCTAAATTCCAACACACAGGTTCTATAGCCTTCTCTTGATGCATCACCAAGGCATTCATTTGATTTCAGAAATGTCTGAAAATCTGAAATTAGTGGTGAAAGTAGCAGTGATCCATCTTCTTTTTTGAATGATGATCAGCAGCTGCTTCACAAGTGACCTATGTAATGACTACATGTTCAACTGAGAGTAAAATGCTACAATCTGTTTGACTTCCAGACTCAGCATGAAACATGAAACAAAAAATAGCACATTCCAGATTGAGAAGATGCTTCAGCAGCATTACCACTATCTTTTACACTTGTTGGTCTAGTCTCTTCATAGATTCAGGGCTATATTCTGTACACTTTGTTGGCCATTACTTGGAAATGAGGTTAGTTCTTTAGACACAATCAGTGGAGTGACTTTGCAGTGGTGAAGGCATGTCCTATCCCTCCAATCACTAATAGTATCTGTCACAATTTTATTTCCCCCTCCTTTCCATTTTTATTTTGGTTCAGGTTCTTGAGTTACTTTAATACTTGTCACCCTACTTCATTTTTGAAATCTTCTTTCCAGATTTCCTATAAAGAAGAGAACAAATAACTTTTTCTGTTATTAGAGTGGAAAAAATGAGGCATATTTGCCCAATTTGATACTAAGAGGACAGGGAAATATCCAGATATCCATTATTTTAGGTATTAAGGAGACATATTTGTGCAGTTCTGTGTCGATGGTATTCTGAAATGGTGATCTGTACATCAAATGTGATTTTTATCTATTACTGCAAGTGTCCAAACAATAATAAGAAATGTTAACCTGAGTTTTTGTAACTGTTTGCCATTTTACTGTATTTGTCAGTTTTAGTCACTTCCCCTCCCTCTCCTTGAAGATGCTCAACAGTGGTCAGGTTCAGTGTTCACTTCTCTAGAATTTATGAGCTGCCCAATTTATTTTCATTATGGTGTGATAATAAAAATGCCTTTAGATTTTAAATCCTTCCATTCTTTGACACATTTTCTCAATAACAAGTTTTAAAATTTAAATTGCCCAAATGAGTGTTCTTAGTTAACACTTTT